AAACTTCCAACTGTGGGTCATCATATGACTAAAACCCGCGTCAGGAAACACTTGTCCTGTTTCCTGACAGACGTTACTTAACCATACCCAGGAGAGATGCATCTTGGTACCTCTCTTTGGTAAATTTTCTTATCAGAGCATAAAAAAACTTCAAGCATTTTGTATATAAACAAGGTATGGTCTTATAGTTAATTATTATTATTATTATTATTATTATTATTATTATTATTATTATTATTATTATTATTATTATTCATCAATCATCATCATCATTACGCTGGTCTGCATGATTTTTTTTATTGACTCTATGGTATCTTTCTCGGTATATATATATATATGGAAAATAGTGATTCATTGTGTTTTATATTCATCTTTATCACATCAGGTTGTCAAGTTATAAGGAAACGTTATTTTTCTCTTTTCGTATAACTTAAGTCAATGAGAAAGTGGTATATTACCAACTAAATGTTTACCTTATACTGACTTAAATGTTAAATCTAATATATTTTTCTTTATTTTCAGATTATTAATATGTCTAGAGGGGCTGCATAAATTCACCAGAAATATTTTGCTATGTCTGCGGGCAATTCACCACTTCAGATTCCCTTTATTGAATCGCTGCTATTTTGCTTATTTTGGCTTGCAAGAGTTACATGGGTAAGCTCCGAATGTGATCAGTTGGAAAACTTAAATGTATGCCATTTGGAGTACCAATGGTATGGCGGGAGCAGATAAACCACCATGATGACTGCTACTTTTGTATGACTAAAGTAGCTGGATTCAGCAAGAAGACTAAAGATCGCATAATATACCCAAGTATTCCTTCAGCAATAAGGCCTGTTCCACACTCTGAAGATATTCTTGTACCTGTGCCACCTGAGACATGGCAAATTTCTCAGTGCTGTACCGGATTCAAGGAAGGAAAAAGGACTAAACCTCAAAAAAAAGACGCCCCCAAACCCTTCAACAAATTTACCAGTGCTGGGGGACACATGAGAAACAAGGCAGGGGTTCCATCGGAAAATTTGCACCATGGAAACTCGATACCGGGAAAAAAAGATTGTCAGCATGATGGCAGTTACTGCTGGCTTTAAAACAAAAAGTCTGATCACAGCAAAAGCAAAAAATCAAAGCGGCTACCTCCCTTGATTTTTTGTAGGAAAACCATTAGGAGATTTTTTTTTAAAAAATCATTTTTTGATTCATAAGTTTGGAATAAATTTTTATTAAAAGAACAAAAATTGCTTTTTCCTATTACTTGCAAAATTTTAAAATAAAAAAACAATTTATTAAAAACTCACATTTTTTTTTCTTTAAATTTTGTGTTTTTTTCAAAACCCTTACGTGAAAAAGCAAAAGGGTTTAAAGAATTTCAATCCACCCCAAAAGAATATGTAACGCAACCATGTAAAAATAAAAAAAAAACATTCCAAATGCAGACCAGTGTTATTATTTTTTAAATGATGAGTCTGGTATGGTCGGTATGAACGCTTGTGTACAAACCCAGACGGGCAAGCCTTAGGGGGTTTATATCCCAAAGTTTTTATGGTTTACCCGGACCACGTGTACACCAATGGCTGTGGTCGGCCGATGTACCGTGACAGAAATTTTTGGGAATAACGTACTGGTACTAAAAAAATAATCTCAAAAAATTACTTGTTACTTTCCGCAGAAAAAAGAAATATGTCCAACAGACAGCAATTAAGCAATGAGCACACTAGGAGAGAACTCAATAAACGTATGAGTCCCAAGAATCTTTAATATACTTCTTTATTAAAGGGAATTACGACAATCCTGGCGTCCCAAGGAAAATTTTTACAAGTTCCAGAAATCGCATCTAATATCACGTAAACTACACAAATAAATAAGCACATACGATGATTAGGTAATTATTAGCTAGTTAGGAGTTAAGTAGCTTTGAAGCTGCCACACATTCCCCTTTCCCCCCGTCCCCCCCACACTCCCTTGGGCAGCACGCGCAAGAAAAGCCTCTCAACAAAATCATCAGTTTTTCATGAAAATCCATAAAAATCAAAACTAGGGTGCTCTTCACCTCTCCAGGGTGAGTGACGTTCCCTCATCTTTTTAATAGTTTACTTCTGTACATTTTTTTTGTATTGATAAAAAGCCATTGGTGGCGAAACATTTCAGATAAAATGCCCAGAATTTTAAAAGTGTAAAATTTCTTAAAAAATACTGAACTGAAATATAGACCCCCAAACTTGAATTTTTATGAGCGATAGAATAAAAAAAGTTGCAAGGAAAGTAAGTTATTGGAAATATTTACAGTTTGCAAAAGAATGTTAAAATTATTTAAAGATATGATGGCGGTACTTGATGGAGATACATAAAGAAGAAGCAGCTGGTTAAAGCCTTGAAAATCCCATCAAAAATTATCCCCCTTGGAGACTTCAACTTCCCTAATGCATAACGACGAGCAAAAGACAGCATTTTTGGCCCAGCCCGTAGAGGGGAAATAATTTTTGCCAAAAAGTTTTAAAAAAGGGGGTACTCCAAAAACTGCGAAAATTTTCATTTTTCTATAGATAGCAAACCCACAAAAAAAAAAAATATTCTAGATTTTATCCTCACTACATATGGAACATTTAGAAAATCGACATTTCCCAAAAACAAAGTATACTCTCATGAAGACCAAAAAAACATAACTGGGTGGGGAAGAACCTCGCAATAGTTAACGTGTGATTTTTTTAAATTCCATTTTGGATTTTTAGTAAAAACTGGGATAACATAAACATGCTTAACACTTAAATAAAACCCAAAACACGGAAAAGCAATGGAAGATATAAAATTGTAGAAACCCAGAGGGGAGATGTTACATAGGGTTAGAACAGAGGGCCTTTATGAGTTTCTAAATTGTTTAATAAACAATAAACATCCCCCTTAAAAAAGGAAAGAAAATCTATGTGAGATATTGCAAAAATATAAGAAACATGTATTCACTGAACAGAAAAAGCATAAAGGAAAAAAAAACTAATTCAAGAAATTTAGAAAAAAATAAAACTTTTTAAATATTAAAATCCAAGTCAAAAACTTCTTCAGTATGGATCTCCTACAAAGGGAATCAAATTAGATAACAAAAAAAAAAAGAGAGATATGAAAAAAAAAAGATGAATGAGCGAGAGTGATCCCCTTTTACACCAGAAGCTTAAATCAAGATAGTTTTCTTTTCCAAAAAATAAAATTAGAAGAGTGCTTAGTGTTCTTTAGAGGATCTTAGATTAAGTGAAATCCAAGGGCTTAAAGTATGACAAACCCCGGTTATCTTAGGCACTTCGTTTTTTAAAATATTGTTGCCTTTTTTTGTTTTTGTGATTTAAAATCTTTTTAAAATTTAGTAACCACCTTTGGTTTTGCCTAACCTAACTGAAAAAAAAAAAGAAAAACTTCATAATTTTACGGAGAGCGTTCAAAAATTTTACACTGGACTTGTGTAAGAATTTTAACGAGTAGATGAGGTAAATTTGGGGGCTGCACCTCATTCTACCTGCTGTGTTTCAGATAACAGCGTAGTAGAAAATTTTAAGTTTGCACCCTCTGCCTGCCCTCTGCCCCAAGTAGAACGGGGACTTCACATGGATCTCCATAATTGGGAAAAACCTTATGCTTTGCAAGTATGGTAACCAGATTTTCTTTATCGTAGTATTTTCTCTTCTTTCCTACGATCTTTCCCTCTATATACGGCAATAAGAATATAGTGTTAAACTAACTTATTTAACTGCCACCCGGGTTTAGCTGTGTTCAGTAGGATTGGGTCTGCAAAGCAATGGTTTTGGGGTCAAGGTTGGGGGGAATTTGCTTAAGATAGCCAAAAATAAAAACTTTTCCTTCCCCCAAAACAAGCTTTGCTCTTTTTAACCCCTTTTTAACCCCTTTTAAAGGCCCTATTCTTTACTACCGGATTTTCCATTATTGGTTTCCAGAGTAAGTAAAACTGGTTGGGGATTTGTTAGATATCTACTCCCTGGCTCTTCAAAACCTTGGATCACGATTTTCCAAAAGAGTGTTGAGACACCAGAATCGCAAATTATAAATTTACTAAAAGGCACACTTAAGGAGCTGAATGCAGGTGACACTGAATGTGTTGCATTGGGACCCCAGTTCCATTACAAGTGTAAATGGAATTGCCCATCTTCTTAGGTAAGATTTATTGCTTTTGTGAATATCAATTTCAGGAGGTTCTAGTATTTATTTAGTTTTGGGCTGTCGAATCAGATTTCACATCTTATGAAGTAGGTTAGCCTAGGCAGCGTTCAGCACTCTTATAAGAAAGTGCAGGGCATTGAGGGGCGTCTAGATTATTTATCACTTATACCATCCTTATCAGGGCATTCAGTGTGTTCTCGAGAATTACTTCAGTAGAACTGGCTGCAGTGATAGCAGGAATTTATCAGTGTGGGCAATGATTAAGGTTTATGGTAATCGACAGATAGCTGGGTAGGTGAGATGCTTTCGTATTTGGAAGGATCAGAACAAGTTGCATGGCTTCTTCTTGGGTCTTCACAAGTTGTAAATTCTCTAATAGATATTCTTTTGTGCTAGCCAGAATGACAGCTTCAAGAAACCTGACGTACACCTTGTTAATCAACCTGTTAGTGATTTCCTTAGCCACTATGGAGAAGATAAATAAGTCAAGAAGGTATCTCGGTGAGTGTTTTCCAAAGTGCTCGTCAAGCAGCTACAACCACAAATCCTTGTTGTATCCAGCTGAATCGAAGGTGACAAGACTAGGGAAAAGTGTTTGAACGGCTGTTAATATTAAATCTCTTTCAATCAGTTAAGTTTTCTTGAAGTCTGCGTTTAACACTTCCTTATCTTCAGATAGGTTATTGATACATGTTCCTGCCCCTGAACCACTGCTTCACTGCCTCGTAGTAAATTCATCACTGTCAGTAGGACCCCAGAGCCAATATGTTAGTCAAAAAAACACATTAGCAACTAATGAGACTTTTATTACTGTTACGTTTCTTTATTGCTAACAAGCATAGCTTATATATATATATAGAACTGGTGTCTCCTTTCTTCACTTACATTCCACCAATATGGCTGTCAGGGTCTTCTGCCTCGTCTACGGTTCTCTGGTGGTGAGTTAAATAAAAGTGATATATCTTTCTGACCTCATGCTTGAGATAATACAAAGAAAAGTATCATTCAGTAATTTTAGTAAACCAGTTTAAGTGACGAACATTTATTAACGTATCAGTTTCTTCACACAGGTGATGTGTCAGTTGATGACCACACAGGCAAGGTGAGTTAGGTCTTCATTGGGTATGAATTTTATAAAAATTTTAATGATTTTGTAATTTGTGCATTATTTGTCTTTTTTGTGCCAGGTCTCGTGATTGTGCTGTATTGTGTTTCCCTAATTTAAGCAATGTTCTTGTGTTTCTTGCCAAGTCCCTGTATTACATGTCACATTTTTCATGTTTGTTGTTTTTAAACCACAGGAAGTGGCGAGTAATGTGAATTTTATATATTTTCCTTTTTATATATTTTTATATATTTTCCAATCTGATAGTATTTCAAACTACATTATTGGAAGAGCTTGTTTTGTGTTCATATATTATTTTGGTAAGTTATGTTTTTGCTCCGTCTTGAGCTGGCTGGATGTCACTATATCCTTCAGTGATGTCTTATTACTCCCAGTTCATTCTTCTATGCATTACTGACTTGTATTTGTGATTTAAACTCGCCACTTACAGTATTTCTGATTGATTAATTTTACATTCCATAACTTTAATTAGAGAGAAAAGTTATCCTTTTCTTCGCTGCAAAACTGATTTTCCTAATTGTTATTTCCTATATAATTTCATAAAACACAATATTGCTTGCTGTATCTCGATCAATTTTCACCTATTATTATATATAAGAAATTAATTGCTCATTTAAGACAGACACTGAAACACAGTAGATATAATAATAATAATGATATTTAATAATAATAATAATAATAATAATAATAATAATAATAATAATAATAATAATAATAATAGCGATAGAATTAATGGACAACTAGTGCGGAATTTTGAGGTGAGAGATATAAACTATTTCCTTTACTCTCTTCGCACCCAAAATGATATTCTCCTAATTTAATGTAGGGAGCACTTGTTAAAGGTATGGAAAATATCCGTGTCTCTGGGGATCTAAGTGTTTCAAGTATAATAATATGGGTTTTTCTTTTGAACAAGATTTCATTTCCATCCGAAATACTAATTCAGAGGGAATTCCTTTTCTTCGGATAAATTCATTCCTGTCTCCTGTTGTAAGCACTGATAGAAACTTGCACTGGCAGATTCGCTTACAGTTGTCCAGTGAATGAGGCAAATAACTTCACCTTCTTGTAGTTCACTATCCTGAAACCTTGAGATTCTTTCCTAAGGTCAGAGATATGATTTGTTCCCGGGACAGCTAAAAAGCACTTTTGAAATTTAATCCTTAATTAATGTTTTTTAAGCGTAATATTTTTTTTTTACCTAAACAAATAATTTCTCGTAGTGTAGATGAGTGAATTAATTTTATATGCAAATGTTGCAATAATTTCTGATTTATTTTCTATAATGTTTCATACCAATGAAACAGTTTAATGGCATAATTAAAGTTAGTTTAAGGTTTTGTGTTTTATTGAGACGCTAATTTTCTAACTACTTTTTTTTTAAGCTAAGACCTATTAGATATTTAACCAACCATATGTCAACAATTGTAGCTATGTAGGAATTTTTGGAAAGCGAACCACTGGCTTTATGCTGGCTTCGGTCCAATAGTCGAGCTTAACCTCAGAGAATTCACAGCTGACTTCCTTTCCATCACTGGTAGATTAATCACCAACACGTTGACGTTGCTTTATCATTATTTCGTATAGCTTATGAAGGCATATTTATTTTTACTGGCAATAAGATTTTTTCTTGCGAATCAGTTATACTGTGAGTTGGGTAGCATGAAATGTCCGGCTTTTTACAATGACACCAAGAAATTATTATTTACCTCACTTATGTAAGAACCTGCTTTTATTGTTATATTGTTCAATCACACACTTTATAATCATAAATAGTAATGTAATTGGTTTCAAGTAATGTAATAATATTCATAATGCCTTTAAAAGGCATCCTTGGAATGCAGACGTCTATTAATTTATATCCCCATTTTTATTACATGCATACAGGTCTGTTTAAAGATCATATTATTCTGTACAATCTCTGGTGAAACGACCTTATTTACTTGATCTTGTAGTCTTATACAATAACGATTACTGGTGAATATCATGTTTTATATTTTCCGAAATAGGTTCTGTATTGGTAGTACGAAATCCTGTTGTAAAATAAGACAGGAGGAGACTGTTGATTTGCATATTTCAATCTCGGCCAAAGATCATCATCAGCAATAAGAGAATGAGAAGATTACAAGGTTATATAGTGGCGAGTGGGTAGGTGGACCTCTCGTCAAGGGGCTTGACGGATGAGTCAAGTAATTGGTACGTTTCTGTTTTAATTAGGCTCTCTTATATACCTATTCAATATAATTTAGTAATAATATCTGGTGTGAATTTGGTAATAATATCCGTAAACTGTACAGATTTGTACACTACGATTTGCGGAATAATATATTTGTTCCTGGACACCTATTTGTTTCAACAGGAATATTGGGGTTACCAGCTGTTCTTGACTCTCCTTCGTCTCGTTTCTTCTATAACACTAAGTGCATCGACAAACTTCTCTCCTGCAAATTCATTCACTTATTCAGTCTTTTACTCTTACGATAAACATTGATTCTTTTTGATATCTTCATTGGCAGAACTTGAACAGAATTTAACATGCGCTATGCAAAGAAAAAATAAGAATGTATCTTGTCTCCGTAGTGTGGTTTAAAGCGCCAGTCTTTTTCCAGCAACTCATATTGCAGGTTATTTGCTTAGTTACTGTCAAATAATTTTAATCTATACTGATGTGTATTTAATGATGTATCAGCAACAACAATTAAAACAATCACAAACCAATGCTCCCTCATAAATCAGCATATAATCATCACAAAGCAACGCTCACTCAAATATCTAACCATTACAAAGCAACGTTACCTCAAACATTAGAATGTAACCATCATCAACCTTAACGTTAACCTTAATTTTTTGTTACATATGTTCAAATGAAATTTTATATGAATAAATTTTATTTAAATTAATTACTTACAAGGCTTCTAAGCGGTTACTTTCTTACTTTTAACAGCGTGCTTGAGTGTCAGACACCGGGAAGGTTCCCCAATCCTGAAGACTGCAGTAGCTACGTGGACTGTCTACCAGATGGTCCTGACGGTCAACTTAGGGCCAGGGAAGGTGACTGTTTCGGCTTTCCTTATTCCCCTGCCGAGCGTCTCTGTGTTCCCCTTGATCGGGATACAGGTTGTGCCACCAAGGGATTAAGGAATAGCCTCCCAGTCCCAGCTCTTCAATACCTGTGTGAAGGAACAAGCAACGTAGGCTGCATCCACTGCAGGATGGCCTACCAATGCATCGGGGACAACGTTTATGTCTCTGAGTGTGAAGACCCGGACATATGTTCGGAAAACGACTCTTTTGGCGGAGGAGCATGTTTACCATATAGTGTCCTGCTTTCTGGTGATAACTGCTACTGTAGCAAAACAGGACTGATATCCGATAGTTACAATGATACATATTACATGTATTGTGATGCAAATGCAACTCCGGTAAAAATTGATATGTTCAGTTGCGCCGAAGGCGAGACATTCGTAGATTCTACTGGCAAATGCGAGGCTCCTCAACCCATTGAAATTCCTCCTTGTGACGGATCGTCAGCCACGCGAGTCAATCCCAACGACTGTAGCTATTCCTACACCTGCCTTCCTGATAACTCAGTCAAGACATCTTACTGCGGCGAAAATAAATACTTCTATGAGAACAACGGAACCTGCGTGGACGCGTGTTCTCTCGACATCTCACTACCTACTGGTGGTGCTCTGTGTCCGGATGAAGGCAACCAAATGGATCCTGCAGACTGCACCAAATATTACGTGTGTTTGATACCAGGTCAAGAGCCATATACCTCGAAGCAGTGCGTAACTGGATTTTTTGACTCCAATGAAAATAAATGTGTGTCAGAACCTATTCCTTCCGGGTGTATCCCCGTCGATTACACTAAATGTCCCGGACATGACCAGCAGAATTGTTCGTAAAACGCCTAATGCTTCACGGAATTTAACGTAATGTAATAGATGCCAGAAACGAAAGCCTATGTTTTTTTTTTTACTTACGTAAAATTTCATTTGAGAATTAACTATGTAAACAACTTTATAATTA